GTTTTTATCACAAAGTATATTTTTAGCAATTTGAACATAGTGTTGTCTGTTCAATATAACAATATTCCCGCCCTTATAGGCTGGTTTAATTACGACTCCCTCATTCTCTCTTAGATCGCATAGTGCCTTCCATTCATCCCTAGTTAGGTTACCCCTCGGTCTCATTGTTAAAGCATCCGTATTGATTTTCTTGATCAAATTTGTTGTTGGTTCCCCAAACGTATCAATAGTTTTAAAATCACGGAAATTCGAAGTAAAGTTGCTCTTTGGGCGTAAATCGGTATAAGGTGTAGGGGAGCTGGTATCATTGTATTCCAAAAGAGATACCAGATCTTGAATGATGGCTCTGATTCAGGGGTCGTAACTACGACCGATGAATTAGTGCTAGTAAGTCCTGAAAATACTCTCCCAAATTAGGGAATAACCCTCAAATAGAAAAACTTAAAGCGAACAAGTAGGACCACAAGAGTCCAAAATAGGAGAGTAATATAGAAAGGGGGAAGAAGGGGGAAAGGGGAAGGGAGGGGTCCCTACCTTTTAATAATCCTAAAGAAACACACAACAAGACAGGTGGGAAGAGGAGTAGCAATTATACACCTTCCAGAGTAGACATAGGGAGCCAGTTACTAAAGAGACTGCCTAATAAGTGTCTAAAACCTAAGGTTAAAAAAAATACACTCTCTGATTCTCCCAAAAACCGGAACACCTAATGAAAGGAAGGTTACTGGAAACAAGGGAAGGGGCAAAATAAGGAGTACCCCAAAAAGTGTATAAGCCCAGACAGAAACCCCTATAGGAGGTCTGCTATCCCTAGTTACCTCGGCACTGTGAAGAGTCACTAGTGCCTACCAGAACCTTAGTCCCTGCCTGTCAAAAAATAACTGATATAAAATGAATTAAATTAAATCCATAAGTGCTACCAAAAAAGTGCAAAACAAAGAAATAAAATTAAAAGAAGCTCGACGCGCGTTTCGGCGTTTCAGCACGCCGTCGTCAGGAGCAGTGATTATTAAAAGGTAGGGACCCCCTCCCTTCCCCTTTCCCCCTTCTTCCCCCTTTCTATATTACTCTCCTATTTTGGACTCTTGTGGTCCTACTTGTTCGCTTTAAGATACCAGATCTTGTAAACATTGGTACTCTTTTGGATCAAACCCTAGTTCTTTAGCCTTTTTCTCATTTTTCACCTTTAAAAATTTATGAAGGGCGAGTCGTCTCCCAAATAAATTAATGTCTTTAATCGATTCAAAATGGTTGAATGGAGGGATTGGGACAAAAGATAAGCCCTTCATAAGCACCTGAGTCTGGACTGTGGTGAGATTGATATCTGATCAATTAATAATGCTCATATCTCCCCCAAGTAGCGCCTGTGGGCCCTCCCCTTGTTGCGTGTTTGTCTGTATTGGACTTGTGTCTCCCCCTTTCGGGGGTTCTGTCCTAAAAAAGAGACACCTTTCTTTAAAATTCCCTTCGTAGCTTGAGCATTGTGATTTATCTGAGATGTTGGGACATGTTCATTATATATGTCCAAGGTCTCATATTCAGACGTAGAACTGTAATCAGAATCTACCCTAGACTCTCCCTGTAGTATCCCTAGAAGCCAATATATCAGACTCAGCCGAAATTGCTCAGATCAAGATACATTTTATCAACAAGCACAAGTTTTAACCAAAAAGTTTGTGGAAAAGGGATATCATCTTGAAGAATTAGAAATGGAGGTAGAAAGTTGGACAGATGAGAAGCGGAGTGTCAGGATTAGTGTTGTCGCGAACCGTTCGCGAACTTTTCGCGAACTTTTCGCGAACGGTTCGCCACAAACCGTTCGCGGCGATCTCCGGTCAGCTGACACATCCTGGCCAATCTCCAGCAGACCGTCCCTCCCAGACCCTCCCACCTCCTGGACAGCATCCATGTTGAAGCTGCCTTCATTATTATTTATATATTTATTTTTTATTTATGTGCAGTGATTCTATTTTTTAAATATGTTTTATTACCTAAATTCATTTTTTGGTCTTATATATTATTATTATTATTTTTTTTTTTTGCATTTTTACAATGTGACATTGCATTATAACATTTCTTCAAACATGGTTACAGACATTTGATTCAGACATTGGTGTTTCAGTGCTTACAGTGTTGTATTAACAAAAAAGGTTTGGGTGCTCTTCCTACAAAGTCTTGTAAGTAGGTGGGAAATATGGTAGCAACAGTTGTATATCAGTTAGGTTTACTGTGGTTAATATGTTGTCTATATTGAGCATTCAAAGGTAATTTGACAGGTCTGCATTTTATACATCTATAACAGTAACAATGAGAACATTTATAATCACTGGTTGTCATAACATTAACGTGTGCAGGTAGGGTGAGTTATAAGAAAGTTTTACCCACTTTGTCAGTTAGGTGTGTGTAAGTGTACCTTTTTGTGTATTTAAATTACATCACCTATCATGGTGCTGGTCAGATTTTTCCATACGTCCCTTTGGTGGAGACCGTTCGGGTGTTGTATCCGTGAAAGGGTGCCCTGCGCCTAGCTTATTGCTGGCCCACCCTGTTCCCTCCTTGATCTGTCATTGTCGGAGGTCAGGGTTGTCCCTAGGTCCCAACCAGGGTGGGTTGTTTTCTGTAGTGATTAGATCATTGGATCCATTGTTTTGTGACTGGAAAGGGAGTATCCGATTTCCTCCATAGTTCTGACACGTTCCACTCTAGAGAAACATTTCTCTATTAGGAGTGGGATTTGTTGTTTCCAGTACTTGATAATAGGTAGAATTCTATTGAGTTGCGATAGACCCTTAGATGCCTTGGGGATAAGTGTAGCAATATCTCCGAAAACGAGTGTGGTTTCAGTATTGTGGCCAGGGTGGTTGTCACCTCTATTATGGTGTTCCAGTATGGGCGCAGTACTGGACATTCCCACCAGATGTATTGGTATGTGCCCCTGCTCCCTCCGCATCTCCAGCACACATCTGGAACTTGCGGGTACCTGTGGTGTAGCTGCGTGGGTATCCTGTACCATCTACTAATTAGTTTGTAGTTGGCTTCAACTAGTGGGATGTTTAGTTTGTTTTTGTGGGTAATGCTAAATATTTTGTGCCAGTCAGATGTAGTAATTGTGATTCCCAGTTCCTGGGACCAGTCCTCCGTGAATTTGGGCAGGGTTTTGCAGACCAAGTCCTGTAGGAGTGAGTGAAGTGTGGAGAGTGGTCTTTTTATTGACCTTACTGCATTAAGGAATGGTTCCAGCGTCAGTATAAATAGTAGGGGGAAGAGTGGACATCCCTGGCTCGTGCCATTTAGAATAGGCAGAGGGTCGGACTGTGTGCCGTTGACCTGCACCCTTGCTTGTGCCTTGACCCACATCATCCACTTGTCACCGAACCCCATGTCCTCCAACACTTCGAAGAGTAGGGCACCGTCCACCCTATCAAATGCCTTTTTGGCTTCTATACTGATGAGCAGTGTTGGGGTTTTTTGGGCTGTTGATTTATGTATGATGTTGATTATTTTGATGGTGTTATCTTTGGCTTCTTTGTTGGGGGTGAAGCCTGCTTGGTCTGGGTGTATTAATCTCGTTAGTAAGGGTTTGAATCTGTTGGCTAGCATACGATAGAAAATTTTAATGTCATTGTTGATGAGGGAGATCTATAGTTGCTATCCTATAGTTGCTGCATTTAGCGTGGTCCTTGTCTGGCTTTGAGATCAGAGTGATTGTGGCTTCCAGTGCCTGGGGGCTGAAGGTACATCCTGACGTCAGTGAGCTAAATGTTTTCAGCATGTGTTTCAGCATGTGTGGGTCCAGTTGGGGGGTGACTATTTTATAATATTTGTTTGAGTACCCATCCGGGCCGGGTCTCTTTCCATTGGGGGCTGCTTTGATTGCTGCAGTCAGCTCTTGGTATGTGAATGGGTTATTGAGCGAATCGTGCATTTCGGGAGTCAATCTGCTAGTTATGTGTTTTTGTATATAATCATGTCTGTCGGTGTCTGTCCTTCTGGGGGCTGCAAGGCCATATAGTGCTGCGTAGTACTGATGGAAGGCTTTAGCTATGTCAGCTGTCAACTGGTGTGTTTTGCCCTGTACGTCAGTTATTTTGTGTATATATGACTTGTTTAGCCTTTGTCGTAGTGCGTTTGCTAGCAGTTTGCCGCTTCTGTTCCCATGTGCTTAGAAAGAGTGTTGTGTGAGTGTCTCTTGGCTTTGTGATGTAAGAGTTTAGAGTAAGAGTTTAGAGTAAGTGTGAGTTTCCTGAGTGTGTTAGGGTCCCGGTCAGCATTATGCGTGCTCTCTAGGGCCTGTATGTCCGTGAGGAGGGCTTGGATTTTGGACTCTCTTTCTCTTTTTATTCTAGCCCCTATTTGAATGAGATTTCCTCTTATTACACATTTGTGCACCTCCCAGGTGGTCTGTGGTGTGGTGTCTGTTGAGGGATTCTCTTGGAAGTAATTTAGAATCAATTCCTGTAGTTGTGTTTTAGTTTGTTGGTTATCGAGTAAGGAGTCATTGAGTCTCCAGTTCCACGTATGGGTAGTTTCATAATGACATGACCGTGGTCGGTCCAGGTGATTGGTCCTATGTATGATTTATGGATCAGATGTAGGAATCTATGTGGTATGTATACCGAGTCTATACGTGTATAGGATCCACTGGGGTGGGAGTAGAAGGTAAAATCATTAGTAGAGGAACCCCAGCATACCTCCAGCAGTCCATTCGTTAGTTCGAGTGGAAGGACTGGATGCATATGTTTCTATGTACCGAGTTGCGGCCAGGGTGCTGTCGGGGGGTGCCTAGCGGGATGTTAAAATCCCCTCCACACACAAGAATTCCAGACGTAAAGTGTGTCAGTTTAGCTAGGGTACATTTTAAGAATGTGCCTTGTTTAGTGTTGGAGGAGTATATTGAAGCAAAGGTGTATGCCTGTGAGCCTATAGACCCGAGGGTCTGATAATTGGTCCTTTCGGACGAAGGGTACGTGAGCTGCGAATAAGATAGCAACTCCCCTTGCCTTGCCACCCACGTAGTTCCCAAAGAAGCCCACTGAGTACCTGCAGTCATGGAGAGATGGCGCCCCGCCCCTCTTAAAGTGAGTTTCCTGGAGCAGCACGATGCCTGCACCCTTCCTCCTCATGTCTGCCAGTAGGAGGCGCCGCCTCTCTGGAATGTTCAGACCCCTTACATTCAACAACACTATATGGGAAGACATAGTATACACAGAGTAATTTAGCAATCAGCGATATGATCCCTGGTGTGGTTTCTGTAGGAGATGAAGTATCCTGAGACTATATGTAAAGCGAGTGATCTTTCAAGATCATTCCTACCTTGTAGTATTTAGCTGTTTTAAACTGCACGTAAAGGTAAAAATTAAATGAAACTTAACAAAAGTTAGTATAGTATGCTAGATAAAAGAACGTGAAATTTTGTATTTAAGCAATGTAGAAGAACCGCCTGCGCACCTTTCGGGTAGGCAAGCTAAGTGTCAACGTGACAAGAGTCGGAGATTCGTGTTTACCCCTGGGTTATAGGATAAGAATCCTAGTGAACTAGGGATAACCACACACGAGAAGGATTTGGGAATTGTTATAGACAACAAATTAGGCAGCAATATGCAATGTCAATCTGCCGTTGCTAAGGCCAGTAAGGTTTTGCCATATATAAATAGGGGCATAAATTCTCGAGATGAAAATATATTTTTGCCTCTTTATAAATCGCTGGTAAGACCACACCTTGAATATGCTGTGCAATTTTGGGCACCTGTTCTAAAGAAAGATATCATGGCACTAGAAAAAGTGAAGACGAGCTACAAAATTGATAAAAGGAATGGAGCATTTTAGTTATGAAGAAAGGTTAAAAAATGTAAATCTCTTTAGTTTGGAAAAACGGTGCCTGAGAGGGGATATGATAACATTATACAAATATGTTCGGGGCCAGTACAAACCATTATCTGGAAATCTATTCATAAACAGGGCTATACATAGGACACGAGGTCACACATTTAGGCTTTAGGTTTTTAAACAGTAAGAGCAATAAGGATATGGAATTCTTTGCCTGAAGAGGTGGTTTTGTCAGAGTCTATACAGATGTTTAAACTGCAATTGGATAAATACTTGCAAAAACATAACATACAGGGATATAATTTCTAATTAGTGGGGTAATAGCTGCTTGATCCAAGGAGACATCTGACTGCTATTTTGGGGTCAAGAAGGATTTTTTTCCTAGTTTGTTGCAAAATTGGAAGCGCTTCAGACTGGGTTTTTTGCCTTCTTTTGGATTTTATTATTATTATTAAAACTAGCAGCTAAATGTGTGTAAAAGACATGTATATATCATGTGTTGTCACATATTAATAGTACAGACATACTTAGCTCATACAATAAGACAGTGTAACGGATGAAAAATAGACACAGATTAGAATTATCAAAAAGAGATACTCCCTGGCAATAATTAATTTTACTTTTCAAATTCAATGGGACTTCTATAAGACCCCATTGTAAGAGTGAGTTGAACCAAAGCCTAGAGTTGTCAAAAAGATACTTTATGGCATAAAAAGGAGATTGGTAGTCTACAAATATCCCTTGAAGTATGACATTCATTCTTGATGGATTGGCCATACACATAAGACAAGTTGATGTCATTTGCATCACAAATTTCAGTTAACCACTTAGACAAAGTGGTAGTTGGAATTAGTGATGAAAATGTATTGTGATACAACAACTCCATCTACTGATGAATATCTATAAGACAATCATTAAAAGAAGGTACACCCACCTAATCCCATTGGTCACTTTAAAAAGTTGACGTAAAGAAATTCAAGATAAAGAACTCTTTAAAAATGAAAACACAAGTGGAATTTAAAGGTCGGGTGCAAGATTCAGAAATTGGGAATTCAGGAGATCATCAAAGCATCATCAGATCAGACCAGACAAAGAAATACCACTCTAACATTATGTCTTTCCAACTGAGCTAGGGCTTAGTTAAATTTCTTTGTTAGCCATAATAGAACTATCTATATTTCTACTCAATTCTCTCTCAAGCTCTTACTTGCATTCACCATCTATGGGATTATATATTAAACCCACAAAATAATTTTCTACCAAGAAAGCAAGGGCCTCGACTGGATGGCAGCCTGTTTGGTAGATGAATGCCATCCAGGGAGAGCATTCGCAGACTGCTTCCCACCTCGGTTCCCAAATGAGGACCACCCCGGCATCCATTAGAATGTTCACACCAATCAATTGGAACGTTGGCAACTCGGGAGGACACAGGGGACAAGAGGTCTGGGTGTCACGGTTCTCACCGCGATATCCCGACGGCCAGACGAGGTCACCCCAGAAGTGCCCGGTGATGGACTTGAACCAGGGTACTTTGCAGTCCTGGGGCTGCTATTTTGCCTCTGAGCCACCATATCAGCTCGAGAGATAGCCAGAAGTCTATCTTGCCTTGTACCCAGCACTGGGGGCTGGACGTTATTCTGTGGCTGCTCCAACGATCTCAGCACACCTGTGGCTGATCACTAATTAGCCAGGTATAAGACACTGCCTCTCCCTGAGGGCAGTGTCAGTTCATTGACTCTGGTTCCCTTGTTTGGTTCCTGTCTTGCTATATTTGCGTTCCAGTATTTCCTGTCTGATTCTGGCTTCTGACCTTGGCTTCCCTCCTGGACTACTCTGATCTCTGGATTCCCCTGACTTTGGCTTTCCTTGACTACGCTTCTGCTAATCCCTGCTGTACTGCTACTTGGAGCACTATTCCTGGAAAGCCCCCGTGCACAGACTCACAGATCAGGTGGCGTCTTACCTGGTCACCCTGGTCTGTGTCTACTTTGCAAGGGTGAGCGTATAACTCTGCGAGCCGGACTCCCCATCAGGTAAGATCCTGACATAATGAACTGAACATATGGAGTCTGCAGAATTATACAAATTACTCACCTCCCTGGCTGAACAAGTCTCCAACCTGTCCCAGAATGTTATGGATTTGCAGAGATGTTCATTGGCATTTAAAGGAGCAGTACATCCAATCCCGGAATATACATACCCAGAACCCTATGTCATTATGCCTGACAGGTTTGACGGTTCCCGTTCTGCTTTCCCGATGTTCAAGAAGGATTGTGAGCTACTGTTTGCCCTGAAACCTAGAACCTACGCCACCAACCTTATCAGAGTCCGCTCCGCTATTAACCTGTGTACTGGGCGGATTAAGGCGTGGGCACACCAGAAGATGCAGGAGAGAAGTACTGTCTTGGACTCCTGGGAGTTGTTCATGTCCGCAATGGACTCTCAGTGCTTTGCATCAAGGAAAGCAACTCCCAAGCCTACTTCATGTTCTTGCAGAACCCGGTTGCCTAGAGAAGGGGAATTATTTTATGAATACAAGAATCCCATCTCGCTACAGTCTAAACCTACCTCCAAGGACTTGCCTTGTCATCATAATGTTACCCATGTGGAACTTGGCACTCTAGAGGACAAGGAGGAACCCATGGAGATCGGCTTCATCCGCACTTGAACAAGACTGCCATCTAGAGAAAGAGACCGAAGGAGGGCTTGTTGTCTCTGTTTCTATTGTGGAGAAGGAGGGCACTTTATCTCCCACTGCCCTATTCGCCCAACTCGGCCTAAGCCTCTTCAAGTAGGTACTACTCAGCTTCATCCTGTTATCCCGGCAACACTGCCAGAAAATTGTCAAGGGTACTGTCGGATGTTTCCACGTTCCGTGACGCAGAAGAGTACCCAGACTACGATGGCTACTGATGCCAGTGTCTCTCAAGAACACATAATCGGTGATCATGAGAATTCACCACCTCCAGAAGACTCTCCTGTTAAAACTGGTACCATCACCACTTCCTGTCTGCCCAAAGGAGAACTACCTGCGGATTGCACCTGGTACCAAGGTCCACAGAACAGATCTGGAAACGTTTGAAAGGGCTTTGAAAGCCGTGAACTCTGCTCCTGGTGACTCACCTAAGAAAAAAAAGTTCAGAGAAAATGACTCCTGGGATCAAGGTACTTACCGCCTCCACCAAATCCATGAATAACCTTGACCTCTTTCCATTAGTACCCGAAACTGGTACCATAAAGTCCCAGGCTGTAAAGGGACTCCGCTCTGGAGACTGTAATTACAAAGACTATCTTAGTGATCTGAGACCGAAGATGAGGAGTACTATTTCCAAGAAGAACCTGTTCACGCCCGGAGGGCGTTCTTGAAGGGAGGGTACTGTCACGGTTCTCACCGTGACATCCCGACGGCCAGACAAGGTCGCCCCAGAAGTGCCCGGTGACGGACTTTAACCAGGGTACTTTGCAGTCCTGGGGCTGCTATTTTGCCTCTGAGCCACCATATCAGCTCGAAAGATAGCCAGAAGTCTATCTTGCCTTGTACCCAACACTGGGGGCTGGACGTTATTCTGTGGCTGCTCCAACGATCTCAGCACACGTGTGGCTGATCACCAATTAGCCAGGTAAAAGACACTGCCTCTCCCTGAGGGCAGTGTCAGTTCATTGACTCTGGTTCCCTTGTTTGGTTCCTGTCTTGCTATATCTGCGTTCCAGTATTTCCTGTCTGATTCCAGCTTCTGACCTTGGCTTTCCTCCTGGACTACTCTGATCTCTGGATTCCCCTGACTTTGGCTTTCCTTGACTACGCTTCTGCTAATCCCTGCTGTACTGCTACTTGGAGCACTATTCCTGGAAAGCCCCCATGCACAGACTCACAGATCAGGTGGCGTCTTACCTGGTCACCCTGGTCTGTGTCTACTTTGCAAGGGTGAGCGTATAACTCTGCGAGCCGGACTCCCCATCAGGTAAGATCCTGACACTGGGGTTCCGGTTCCGTTATACGACCCCCTGCGCGGGGAGGACCATGGGAGGGGACATTGTCTTCATGTGTGTTCCACCCCTTGCATGGGGAAAATATAAAGCTGCATGTGGCTCATAAAGTTGTTGTTGTTGTACCCCTGGAACTGTGTCATCCAATTACTGGAGGGGAAATGGGTCTGTTTATTTATTAATAGCGGAGGTAACCAACTGGATTACACAGGGTCCGCAACAGGACGCTAGCCGAATATCGCTAAACTCATACCATCCGCCTAATTTGGTCTAGCCAGCGCTAGATCCGAGTGCTTTTTGGACACAAGGGAGGCTCTGAATAGACATTTCGTAAGATATACCTGATGTCGTGATTTAGGACTGTTTTAT